GCTTTTAATAAGCCAAGGTGATATTCAGTTGCTAAAATGAATATATGTATATATTAATAATATATATATGCATCATAGTCATAATTAAAAAGCAATAATCAAAATTTTTATTATAATTGAAACAAATGTTCTACCTTTATTTTTTTGAGTGCGAGATATTTCTCTTTCAATTTCAGCAATCTTTTCAAGAATTCCCATTTTTTTTTTTTTGTTAGATTGATGCAAAAGATGTATTGGTATCAGCACGTGCTAAATTGAATTGTACACCCACCTGTCACCTGCCTTTTTTAAGTTTTATATATTATTTTAAAACCAAAACCCGGAATTCGAAAAACAATAAATAATAATAATAAGTTGATTGTGCGAATACGACAATTAATAAAAACAACAATAAACATAGACAACAATAACATAGATACAAATCATACTGAAATTTTAGATCAAAGTCTTGTAACATTGACTAAACGTAAAATTGAGGCAGAAGAGTGTTCAACTCCTAACACCTAATACTAACAAACGTCCAAAAAGAAATTATATCTTACTTCAACAATAGGAAAGATTATAAACCAGAGAAATGTACTTGTTCAAGAAAATTACAATTTAATCAATCTCAAGCATGTAAACATAATAAATTTATAATTTATCTATTTAATCAGATGGTTCATTTATAAAAAATCTTGTTTTGTTTATTTTTTGTTGGGTGTAAACAAGAAATCAGATAGATGCAGATTTTAAAAATATTGAATATTTTGACATTGATCCTGTAACATATGAAATAATAGAAGGTTCAAATTTTATTTCAGATCAGAATCCTGCTCCAATGCTAGAATCAAGAGAAACCTATTAAACCAAGAGGATTGACAATATATATTAGATATTACTACTATCATGACTTAAACAGTGATAATATTTTTAAAAAAATTAATATGTTCTAAAATTAGACTTAATAGCCTCTACTTTTAGAATGAATTTTCTCATATAAATAAATCTCCATGTTGAAAAATATCAGAACAAATGGTAGAAAATTATGTGATATTTATCAATACATAATTTTTAGTGGGTTTTGATATGCATGGTGTGATAGAGAAATGTGTATTACATGATATGACAAGTGGGATGATTTGTCACCAGAAGCCTTTTTGACACTTGGTAAATGTTCTTTCAGACATAGACATGAAAAAAAAAATCATATGTTGGGTATTTGTTTCTATCAACATCCAGAAATTGAGAAATTTTACAGGGAAACATTCAAATTACTTAAAGATGATCCAATAATTAATGAAAATAATTCTGATTTGCTTAATGCTGGACTAAATAAATCCATAACTGCTATAGAGTTGACTGAATCAACAAAACCAATGAAATTGGTAATATTTAAAAAAACCTATAAAGTCAATAAGATCAACAAAATCTACAAAATCTTTAGAGTCAATGACTACTAAAGAATTTTTGAACTGATTGTAACTTTTCCTGCTTTTATCAAGTCTGGACCAGATTAACTATCATTAGATAAATCTAGCAACAGTGACGACTCAATAATAACTGAAAAAAAATTTTTATGGAAGATTATCTATTACTATAAACAGCACCATCAACAATAATAAGGATTATTTAATGGAACCAATGGATATATAGATTTAGAAATTTATTACAACTTACATGAGAGTTATGATCAACTTTGATAGGATAATGGAGAAATGACACTTGAAAAACTTTGTGAAATTTGAAAAAAAAGGTTATCCATTTGTGATTAGGAACTTGAAATATGAATATCAGCTTTGGAATCCAGGTTTACCTTAGTAG